AATATTCAAATGCAGCATCATTACAGAAAATATATTTGGAATTGTGGGTCCTATAAAACCTTGGCTTCATGGAAGTACCCATATAGGGTCCTATTATAGATTTTTTTAAATGAAAATATGATTTCTAGAATTAAGAAACTTCATTTTTCTTTTTTTGGGTTTCTCTCTGTTGCCCAAGCTGGCTTCCAACTTAAGATTCTCCTGCCTTAGCTTCCCAAGTAGATGGGATTATAGGTGTGCACCACCATGCCTAGCAAAAAACTTCATTTTTTAAAAAACTGGGACAATTATGGGTCATAACACAACTCCCTTAAGTGATGACATGTTCTAGAATCCCAGACCTTTAATCACAAGTTTTGTTTTATTTATGAATTTGACTGCTTAAAAATTTGCAAAAAAATTCAAATCTGCTAAATACTTGTTATCTCAACAATTGATAAAGTAAAATTGCTTAAACATCTCAAATAAGTGACAAAACAGTAAGTCAATTTTTACAGAGAACATTCTTCTCTTACCCCTTCCTTACTTCAAATTAGGAGCCAGTTTTCATAGGCATTTTACCTGCGGGATGCTCAGTCTTTCCATTTGGGATTGAATCTTTTCACACTGACTAGTAGCTGCCATTCTGGGAGTACACTGAAATGAATCTAAGCATTTGACACCCCTCACGTGAGCAATATTAGACCTACTGGCATGGTTCCCTTGTTTTTCTTACACTTTACTGTAACACTGGGTAGCAGGAGCAAACCATGTGAGTACGTGGCTCTAACCTCAGTTTACAGTGAACAAAGCATGAGTGCAGAATGCCCTGGACCAAAAGCTGCCCTGACTGCTGTGTAGATTGGCTGGGGCCGGAGGCCAACAGCTCTCCAAATGAATGGGCTGTCGGGTATTTCATCCTACTCTTAGGAAGCCTGAATCTCTCAAAGTCATTCAGAAGCTGGCTAAAAAAAAGCAGGGAAATATGTAAGGCACCGTGTTTTCCAAGAAAAGCCCTTTCATTGTAATCAGTGGAACATAAAAAACATCAGTCAGTTAAATGATCAAACTCACCCAAGAGGGCCACAGGTCAAAATGGTACCGTGGGCAGAGCAGAGAGGATGTGAGGTTGGGAGCAGAGGGAAAGGGAGAGATGATAAGCCTGCCCAATTCAGGGAAGGGGAAAGGGAACATGGTCTTAAGATAGTGGGAGAGGTTCCTGGGTTAGATGTGAGGGGTCTGAGAAGTGCCAAAAAGAAAAGCCTTCTTCCAGGTCTTGACAGCCTCTGTCAAGTCCTAAATGCACTTAAGTCCAACTGTGTTCAGGCCAATATTTTTTAAAAACTTCTTAGAAAAGGAAAGCGTTTTGCCAAGAAACTGGAAGTGCTGAGACTTAGGGTTCCTTTTCTAGAAATTATAGTGTTTTGGGACTCAAGCACCCTTCAAGAAGAACCTAGTAGCTGACACCAGAGCCCAGATATCACCGCAGGGCCAGAAATGCCTCGATGCCCAGCTGGACCATGACCTGCACGTCAGGGTCTCCCAGGAGCCGGGCAGTCAGCCCCATCATGTCGGGCTGTATGTTTCTTATAAAAATTGCATTTGTTCTACCAAGGGCATTTAACTTTTTGTAGAAAATGCTAAAGGGGTTACAAAGAATTTTATCAATGCCATGATATAAATCAGATATAAAACTTCTGTATGGTGGAGACCATGAGCCTTTGGTAACAGAGTTAGTATACACAGAGTGCTTAGCCCAGGCCCTGGGCACCCATTGGTGCCTGTATAAGAAGTTACTCCTCGCCATTCCTGTTGCTCCTTTCAAAGCAGGGGATGAGGAGGTATGAGGAAGTTTGCGGGGAGAGATTAGTTTGATTTTTCTTCTCAAAACTTGAGGGTGAGGAAGAAAAGCAGAGAGGGAGACTATGAGAGGAGAGAAAAAAGTCGAATAAATATGGTAATGACCTGGTTTTACTTTCTTGTGGGAAACTGCCACCCAACAGGCAGACTGGAAGACACGTCTCCTACAGAACAGTGTCTTCCTAAGTATTTGCCTGGACCACTTGAGAGTGATTAATATTTACTTCTTTTTGTTTTACCTCTCCTCCTATCACCGTCTGTAGGAAAATAGGATAAGCAGAGTAAATGAAGAGAGGAAAAATTATGGGAAAGTATTTACTTTAAAAATGAAAACAGGAATACACATGCTAATCTGAGAATTAATAAATATATAAAGGCCTGTAGAGTTTTTTAAGACCCACTCAATTTCTAAGAGCAGGTATCCAGATAACAGAATGCTTTGACATTATTTTCTGCTTTTATATTAAAAATTGCTGCTAAGTCATGGTGAATGACTCGTTGAAAGGCTGACTTAAATTATTTGAGGAATTCTAAAAATGACTGCTATATAGAAAATGTTTACTTATATAGATAGATTTTGTTTCAGCAGAGAGATAATGGAACAATTATTTTTACAGATAAAGCAACCGAGTACTATTTAAGACTTTACAGTATGGTAAGAAAAAGTTAAAATGATTCAGTGTTTTTTTGTTTTTTTTTTTTTTTACATTTTGAGCTGTAATAGTATGAACTTTAAAGACTGGAAATTTGAATCCATAGTTTCAATATATGATCCTAGTTAGTTTAGGCTGAGAATACTCTGGGGGTCAAATTGTAAATGAAAAGACAACTTTTTTTGTTGTTGTTGTTCCAGGGATTGAACTTACTTAGGGGCACTTGACCTCTGAGCTACGTCCCCAGCCATATTTTGTATTTTCTTTAGAGCCAGGGTCTCATCGAGTTGCTTAGCGCCTCACTTTTGCTGAGGCTGGCTATGAACTTTTGATTCTCCTGCCTCAGCCTTCCAAGCCACTGAGATTATAGGTGACATCTAGTATCTTTACCCAACTTCTGATTATCTCTTATGCTTATTTTAGGTGCTTCACTAAGGATATCTATTTTAGATTAAAATAATTTAGAGAACACTCACAGCCAGACCTGGGGAGGCTCAGGCACAGATTTCAAGAGTGAACCTCTGCACATGGCTGTCATATGCCATGCCACCAGGGAGCACGTGACTCAGTTAGCTGTGACACTGGAGAATGGAGGAACAAACCCTCCCTCACCTAACACTGCCATCCAACAAAGGCCAGGTGGGAAGGTTCTGCCACGTGGACTCTGTCCTTTGAGGGAGCCTGCAGAGACGCCCTGACGCCCAAGGCCAGCGCACGCTACTGACCAAGCCTTTGCTCTGCGCCAGGGGCGTGCGGCAGGAGAGCGCTGACACAGGCCTCCTCTCACATCCTGGCATGTGGCAAAGCCCCTCTTCGCAAATGGACAAGCCCACTTGTTTCTCTTCTTTCTTTTTGTGTGTCTGCATGGTACTAAGGATTTAACCTGGAGCACCACCTCTGAACTACACCCCAGCCCTGTTTTTTATTTTATATTGAGACGGGGTCTTTGCTGAGTTGCAGAGGCCAACTTCCTGTTTGCAGTGCCCTTCCCTCAGCCTCCCAAGTCGCTGGAATGATAGGTGACAAGCCCAGTTTCTGTGCTGGCTCCACAGAACCTTGTGAGCTTGGGTAAGTAGCTTAGGTCAATTTCCACATCCATAAAGAGAGCACCACCCCCCCTGGTGGCTTTGGGGACTAAATGACAATTCCACAGAGCCTTTTGTGGCTGGCAGACAGTAACCACTTAATTAGAGGCAGCTCTTCTTTTAATTATTAGACTTTCAAACCACATTGTTAGAAGAAAAACAGAACATTTTGTCAGAACCAGCTAGAACTCCGTTAATAAGGTGACACTGGTTAAACAGTCTCATTCAGAAAAAGTGACTGTATGAACTTTTTTTTAAGCTCTGCTCTGCTCAGAAATCTCAAACCACCTCTGAGTCACTCTTACCTGAGGCTGTGGCACCGAGAGGTGCTAAGTGGATCCTCTGGCCAGCCGACCCCACTTCTTTTTTGAGAAAGGAAGGATTGTAAGTACTGTAACTTCCAAGATTTCCTAGTGGCGTATCCAAAGTTTCAGAGTCAGAAGGTGAATATTTTAGGGTGCCAGAGAATAACTTTGACTACTACCCCCATTACTTCTAAATGTTATTTTCTGAGCACCTGCTATGTTCTAGGCACTGTGCTGCACTTGCCAGAGACTTATTCACTCCCTAGAACAACCCTCTCGGACGAACAGTAGACACACTGCGGGTTCTGCAGTGCTCAGAGACTTGCCTGGGTTCCCACAATTAGTAAGGGGATGAGCTAGAAGCCCAAGTCAAGGCCAAGGTATGCTCAGTTCACCCCAAACACACCAGGCTTTATGATGCTAGTTCTTAACATGGGGCTGCATCTCCTGCCAGGAAGCCCTGTCCCCTGATGTGTTCCCCACCTTTTTTCATTTTGTAAGTCTGTTGGAAGTGGACTTATGCTCCTAAGGTTGTTGTAGGGACTGAATAAGATGCATGCAAAGCATTTAGCACAGAATCTGGTATTCAGTGTCCGTCCTCAACATCGTGGTGCCCATCACCACTGTGGACCTTTCTTTTCACCTCCATCCGGTACACATTTTGAATCACATTGTCTTTCACTTTTAGAAGAGAAGTTCGAAGCCATGACGGTATTCAGTAGTGGCATCAGGACACATCAATTGTTCTCATTCTCACCATTGAACACTTCCTAGGTCCTTACTGTGTGACAAAATTCTATGTGTAGTTATATCGTAACGCCTAGGTAAACAGGCTTTCCTCCATTTTATAGATGGGGAAACTAGCTTAAATCACTTGTCCAAAACCAGAAAAGCGTGTGAGAGACAAAAGAGGGCACATCAGACACTAAAAGCAACGCAGGAGCAGTTACACAATGCAGAAAGAAGCTGCTGAGGAAAAAAATGAACAGAAAGTTAAGTCTTCTTAAATTATTTTGGCTTATTATTTGAAGTCCTGTGAGCCACAGAGTTTTGAGTTGGAGTTAGGGGTTGGCCTTGTTGAAAACAGTGACATCAGCTCCCTATGAAATCCACCATCTCCATTAACTTGACTGAAATGGTTGCTAATGCCCAAGATAGGAACGTCAGAATCAAAAAAATATTAAAGGAATACTGGTCACAAGATTGGAAAGTATTCTTTTAATTCTTTTCAATAGAATTATCTACTTGATTTCTATAAATTGCCATAGTTAATTTAAGAAGACAAGCATAGAGCTTTTTCAGAGTGAGTCAGTCTTAAAATCCCAACTACTAAAGGAGGATAATACAGACGAGAGGAAATGCTGAAAGCTGGTCACCTTGGCCTGTCCTGATGGGATCGGGTGGAGGAAGAGAGGGAAACTAGGCGACAGAGTCAAAGAACAAGCCCAGAAATTACCTTGTGGCTCCTCTAATTTTTCAGGAAAACTTTCATTGCATGATAGTTTTTCAATTGGTTTAATTATGCTTTCTTCTAAAGAGAAGGCAGGTGGAAAGAAAGAGCGAATGGTAAGGAGAATGTTACAGGAAAAGCAGGGAAAATGAATCAGGTGATTAATGAAAAGATCCAGAATGAGCCCTTGAAATGGGAAGACACTCCCCTGTGTGGTCACGGCTTTCCTTTGATGCCAGGTGAGTTTTTCCCTGAAACTCAAGCTTCATTCTAATTGATCTGTGTAAATGGTTGGTTCTGTGAATGTCACTTTATATACCCGAGAAAAAATAAGTTAATTACAGGCCCCCAGTGTAAGACACCTCAGCTTTATCAGATGGGTGAGTCTTTTCAGAGTCTAAAAACATTGTGGAAAGTCTAGGTGTGAAAATGTCCAACCAGAACACCTCACTGGACTGCTCCCTCATGAAAACTGCAGTCATCAAACTTGTTTGGCCATTGCCACCCACGTTTTTAAGGGTTCCATACCTCTTCACACACTTGCTGATATGTAAAACTTTTCATCCTAAGTTTAGGAAGAGGATGTTCTTTTTCTTCCTTTTAAAAAATGTTTTTACTTTTGAGACAGGGTCTCACTAAGTTGCCCCCGCTGGCCTTGAATTCTCAATCCTCCTGCCTCAACCTCCTGAGAGTCAGGATTTCAGGCAGGCACCACCAGGTCCGGCATGCAAGAGGATGTCACCGCCGGCATATTGTAATTGTCAATATCCACCTAAAATCAGTGTATTTCTCCTTTAAATATAACCAATGAAATCTAAAGACCATAGTGATTTCATGCCCATATTATTGATGTAAAAATACATGAGCAAGTTCTTTTTTCACATTTTATATTTTCATTCATACTTCAGCTTCCAGTTTTTATCCAAATATAATTTAGTTTTAAAAGTCTTTAAATTGATCACTCAAAAATCCATATAAACTTGAAACAAAGTCTGATTTAGGTTAGTTATAATCATAATGATTCATTGTACATAATTACTAAAAAAAGATGAGTATTATAAATTTTGATAACTAAATAAGAAAAGTTTTCTTAGAAACATCTCTTAATAAGAAAGATGAGACTTTTTCCAAATAGCTTATGTTTCAGCAAATGAATACTTGTTGTCGGGACTTTGCGGGCTCCAATACCAGTGCTACTTCTCTGTCTCTGACTCTCTCTTTGTCTCTGTCATTTATGGAGACAGAATCACTGAGAAACCTTTTAACTCAAAAGGGAATAAAGGGTGTTTTGTGACAGCCTTGCTGATATATTCTTTGTACTCTCTTCAAATTTATGGACCAAGAATCATAGCTCAGATAAAAGGATTTAACTGCCTGTCAACTAACAACCCAATTAGATTCTCCTTTAATTTTTAGAAAGCTTAAAACTAGAAACCCCCTGCCATTAGAAAGGATTTGCTTCACAGGTACCTGGGATACTTACTTTCTCAACTCTGACCTCAACATATCAAAGTGTCCCTTTGATTGGCACCCAGATATTTTACATTGGGGGAAATATAAAAGTCAAAATCTTTTCTCTTGTAAAGCAGAATTCAGAAACACCCTCCAATAAGGAAGATCCATTTAGGAAGGAACCCAGATGGAAGATGAGGATCTGGCAAATGATTCCCTTGGCACTCTTTGTGCTCAATAGTTCATAAGCTTTGTGTATCCCTTGCACGGCCACACCCATCTCCACTGGAAGAAGGTAGGTGCAATGTATTTAAAAGCAAACATCTGTAGAAGGCAGACTACGTACATTTACATTTTAAATCTATTCTTGCATTACCTGCATTACTCCTTTTGAAAGCAAATTCACTGCCAATGGGTCCCAGAGACTTAGGAAATAGGTGATTATTCCAAGCATATGGGTTTATATTCTTTCCACTAGCTACGAAGGATACATTCTTGGGATTCACACCTTAGAAGAACAAAACAGTCATTTCAAAGATTAGCATGTGATCATAAACTTGAAGGAAAAATACACATGTTCAAATAAAGACTAAACATACTATGAACAGAGAGAAATTTAGGTTCACGTGTAGCTTTCGAAGAACCCTAACATGACCCCAAGCGCTTGGCACACATCTGAGCACGGACAGACCATACTTGCTATATGGAAAGTAATAATGAACATTTGGCCTTCTTGCTGAATGACTCATAAAAATTGAGGGGGCATAAACATTTTTCTTCAAAACCAAGACAGTTCCATGTCACTCACTCGCTTCTGTACACTAGGGCAGACCCTGGGGGACAGACATAGAGCTGGAGCTCAGGGCAATCCAGGGACTTCCAAAGCAGACATGAATGGAGCCTGCCAGATGCTTCTGTGTCCATGGGATGTCATCACCTGTGGACTGGGAGCAGGTGTTAGAAATGTCCGAAAAGAGGAAAGTTGACATTAGTCGTGAATTGCTGAATCTATGAAGTGTCAAGACAACCTTGGGCTTTGGTACTCGAAGTCAAGGGGGTTGGTTGGAGTTTGCAGTGGCACTCTCAAGATGCTGAAGACCTCGTGCTGCCCACCGCCTTAGGTGCCCACGGTGCTGTCACCAGCCAGTGTAGACATCAACTCTGAGGACTCCGTGATTTAGGAAGTGGTGACTCTCCAGGCAGTATAAGCTTTTGCTTTTCACAAATGGAGTTCCTGGGAAGGCTTCACAGTTATGAAGAAGATACACGATAATTCTGTTTTGAAATCAGAAACACTGAGCCTCAAAAGCCACCTGTCATTGGTTCTCCAAGGAAGCACTCCTGGTGGCCAAATCATGTCCCTTATAGGATATAATGCCTGTGGATTCTGGCTTCTAATAAAACGCTTACAAACAGAACTATAATAAGAAATTACCCAATAAATAAGGATGCAGTAGGTAGCAGTTAGTCATATTCAAAAACCTTTACTCAAAAAGACAAATACAAGGTAGAAAAAAATATAAAATCTCTTTAAGTGAACCCGGTATACATAAATATAGTTCCATAAAGAATGGATCCTGAATATTTATTTTTTTTATTCCGTTTAACTTTTTAATATCCCTAAATAGGTTTTTTAAAAAGTAGATACATACACTATTGAAGATAATTGGTTTAATTAAGATAAAGATTACAACTTTATTGGAAATATATCCTAGAATTGTAAATTATTTATCAGTGTATTAGCTTTTATTGGACACCTATATACCTAACAAGAAGAGGCAGACATTAAGATAATTTGATATTACATTGATGCATATCACATGATGACCATCTCTTGCCTCTCAGGAGATTTTACAATCAGTTAGCAAATATTTACTTAGTACTCGCCACATGCCAGGCAGTGTGTGTGGCATTAGGGAAAAAGCAATGAACAGAATGGACCAGTTCCTACTCTCTGGGCTCTTACAACCTAGTGAGGGAGACATGTATGGTCATAATTAAATAGGGAGTTAGCAGTATGCAGATTGTCTGGAAGGATCTGGGGTGAGGGAGGTAAATAAGAGGACAACTGAGTCTTTCTTCTAAAAAAGCAACTTTAAGCTGAACTGTGAATCCTGACCCAGGGGTGGGGAGGTCAGGGAGAGGTGGCAGTTTGGGCTGAGGGTGGGAGAGGGTGGGAGAGAACTCAAGAGACAGTGTAGCATGGGCACAGCAAGAACAGGGTGTGGAACGACAGGAGGCTGGAGAGCAGAACAGGGACAGGTCACACAGACTGTGTGAAATGTTAAGAGGCAAACACAGAAGTGCCACAGGACACTGAATGAACAGGTGGAGGGAAGAAGGTAAGTGATATGTGGGGGGAGACAAGGATCCTCCAACCAGGGTTTTAATCATCACCCTAGGTACGTGTATGACTGCACACGTGGTGCGGTGCGACTCTACATCATGTACAGCCAGAGAAATGAAAAGCTGTGCTCCATTTGTGGACAATGAGTACAGATGCATTAGCTGTCATAATTAGAACAACAACAACAACAAAAGTGCTATAGAGTAAACTGCTCTGCTGGACAGCAGTGGTGACATCAACTGGATCTAGGAGCAGAGGGTGACACCAGAAGGTACCACTGAGACTATTCCATTGCATATTCTATTTGCAACTCCCTTATGATAATGAAGTACCTAAGGCTTACAAGGTAAACCAGTGGATGACTGCAGTCCCACTGAAAGAAACAGAGAACTGAATCTCAAAAGTCTTGTTCCAAGTACACAGCTGGTCAGTAGCAGCTCAGTAACGATGACACGTGCTTGTGTTCTTTCCCTGAAGGCCAGTGTCACAGATCTGCCAGTCCTTGTGCTATAGTATCATGCTGTCCTGTAATCATACGGTACATTTCTAGAGCTCTCATAGTCCTAAAGGTCAATGCTTAATCAGACCTTTTATACTTGGTTTTAGGGTAAAGAAGAGTCCACAATGATATTTTTATCCCTGAAGACATTCACTTGTGAAATTAACTGTGGATTTAAAATGTCAAGGATTGCTTCTTATCTGGGTTTTATCTTCTACATGGTTACTGCTTCACAACAGGTGCTCAGTAAATGTTTCTCCAAGTGACGGAACTGAGCCCAATTCTAGTTTCTAACCTCTTCCAGCTTCCGACAGGCCATCTTCAAGGTAAAGAATGCAGCCGGGTGACAGGACAGCTCAAGCTTAGATTTTAAGGAATTTTTTGTAATTTTGAATCTAGTTTTTAAGTGTCAATTACAGCCATACTTCTGACGCCAGGGAATTTGCAGAATTTGTTAAGATTTTTTTTTAGTTAAAAAATAAATGATCAGACAGGTCTTAGATACCATGAAATATATTCCTGAAAATCCCATTAGGAAGCAGAATATGAAAATGTGTGCTTTGGGTCCACTTACCCTCTGCCAACAATTTATAGTAGTCACCCTTCAATAAGTCAGAAGACTGATTTGTAAATTTCAGTCAGAGAAGTGGACTATCTTATTTAAACAGAGTGTATTTCCACGAGACTCTCATATCCTTGCCCATCCAGGCTGAGTAGAACTCTCACGGTTTCAACACCAAACTTTACAAATCTACCGGTACCCAGAGATGACAACACAGTGTTTTTGCTGCTTTTGAAAGTGCACCCCAAGCCTTGTGGCCTTCAGTCTGAGGCCTCTGCCTTCCTAAGGGCTTCCATCCCTGGCCCAGCCCCTCCTCCAGCACATTAGCGCTCCTCCCTCTCCAGGGAGCATCTCCAGCCACCTGCAGACCTGCTTTAGGTCTCCACTGTTGATGGCCCCTGCAGTCCATCCTAGGTTCATTTCTAAATGCCACACCTCCCTTCTAACCTCATCCAGTGCAGAGGGGCCATCGTCAAGACAAAGCATGCCATCTGTGTGACAGGTTTAGATTTCAAACAGTTCTTTGTACTTTTGGGTCTAACTTCCAGATTGAAACTAACTCACCAGGGACCTCTCTCTCAAATTTAATTAGACATTTCTATCCCTCCTTATCCAGCTGCTCAGCAGCAAACTACTCTTTCTGATGGATTTCCCCTTTTTGGCCTCTGGAAACCACCTTCTCTGGCTTTCCGACCCTCATCTGGCTGGCTGTCTTCTCCCTCCTCTCCCTCCCCAGGAAAGCCCATGTTCCCCCTCATCTCTCGGTGGGTGATGGGTCCTGTCTGGGTCTGAGGATGTACAGACTGCCTGCTGCTGGAGATTCCCAAGTCTGTTTTTCTGGGACCTTTTCCAGGCTCTTCTATTCCACTCCCATCCACCTCTCCTTGGTCTGTTTCCCAGGCATCTCAACTGCAATTCCCCACAAATGGGAGGCACAGCCTCTTCCCTACCCACACTGTGCCTCCCGAGTCTTCCCATCTCAGTACCTGGCTCCGCCATCCACCCAAGATTCAAGCTCCAGACCAGCTCCTTTCCTCTCACTGTCCACCTCCAATCCACCAGCAAGTCCACTTCCACCCTGTAAGTCATCATTCTCTTTCTCCAGGTGACTGCAGGAGCCTCCCAAGCCAGCTCCCTGCTGCTCTCCTTGTCCCTGGGTAGTCTATTATTTATACAGCAGACAGTCTTTTTAACACATTTAACTCAGGTGCCACTCACCTCCTGCAGTGGACCAGGGATAAAATGCAAATTCCTTCCCCTGCCCTAAAGGCTGAATTCTGCTCTCCCCTCAGCTCAGGGAACTCCAGATGTTAAACCTTCTGTTCTTAAATAAACTCTGTCTTTCAGACCCCCTCCTCCCCAGCCTGCAGTCAACTTTGGTTCCCCTCCTCTGCACCATCACTCCATCACTGTTTCTTACAGTGTATGTTCACACACACACACCTGTCTCACACACACACACACACACACACACACACACACACACAAGATGGTGAGCTCTATGAGAGTAGTGTTTATTTCTCCATCACTGGGAATCCCCAGCACTACAATATACGCTGCTTGAATGAGTAAGCCACATAATGTCTGCAACACAGGTATTTTTAAGAGGCACAGTTAAAAGGGACGTCAACAAAAAAGAAATGGGGAAAGTCAGGAAATGTCTTAGTCATCCAATAAGTACATTTATAAAACAGCTGATAAATGCTATACTTGGCTAAGTGGGAGATCTGTATCCAGCTTTGGGGAGTTTGCAGAGAAGACTCTTTCTGGGGCCTTAATCCTCCTCCAGAAAATCCTGAATAAGAAACTAACAATAAAGCTATCCTGAGACCAGAGTGGGGTTCTGGAAGCTTTTGTATAGTATCTGCCCATGAGAGAACCATGACTTTCTTGGACTCTTTAGGAACCTAAGATGAAGAAGCATCCTGAGTGATGGCTGACAGCTTTAGTCTGATGACAAAGGCAGAGTGGGCAAATTCTCATCTCATAACGTAATGACATGAAGATTCTCTATGCAGAAAATTAGAACTCCAAAACTCTTTTTCTCAGTTCAGGAAACAAAATAGAAGGTCATAAATAGCAGTCTTTCTCAAATTTTGACTTAATGAGAATGAATAGGGATTTTAGGTCAAGAATATATTTCCTAAAAAGAGTTTCCAATTTTTCAAAAGGGATCAATCAGGTAATGAATGGTAAAAACCTAGCAAATACCATGTTCATGTCTTATTGATAAAAATTTTACTATAAATGTTCTTTTTTGAGGGAGGGGGATACTTGGGATTGAACTCTGGGGTGCTTGACCACTGAGCCACATCCCCAGCCCTATTTTATATTTTATTTAGAGACAGGGTCTCACTGAGTTGCTAAGCACCTTGCTTTTGCTGAGGCTGACTCTGAACTCACAGTCCTCCTGTCTCAGCCTCCAAAGCCACTGGGATTGCACGCGTGTGCCACCGTGCCCGGGAGGAGTGAATTTTCTAATCCCATCCTTACAAGAATCGGACTATTTTGATGAGATACTTTTTTTTACAAGTAATAAACGTTTTATTTTCTCTACTTACCTGGAAGGTATCTTGATTGTTTCAAGTAGTACTGTTTAGCCACTGATGCAGATGACAGCTGGGGGTCAGACTTTAGGTGGACGGCAGCAGGTAAGCTCTTGTTTTCCTCTGTGGAGTGGTGGAAGCCTGAGGGTACTGCCTCTGAGAGCCTTGAAAGGCAACAGAAGGTGGCTGTAAGGCCCAGATCAAGAAGTTCCCCCACCTCTCTGCATCCTTCCATCAGCCAAAGCGACTCACTTGGAAGGCTGCGCCCAGTCCTCTGGCTGAAGGAATGCTGAGCACAGGCCCCCGCTGTGGAGACTCAGTGGCACACAGAACTGTTTCTGTTACTGGATGGTATGTGACACAAAGCTTTACAACCGAGCAGCAACTTGCTTGTGTATGATATGTATCTGTATTTACTGAAATTGCTGCACTTTCAAAATGTGGGACAGTGGTGAGCTGGACAGGAAGGCAGTAAAAGCCCCTTTTCCATGTGGAAATTGAGGATTTTCAGCTCCCAGGCTTAGCTCTGCCTCGTTCCCAAGGCCATCTTGACCACACAGCAGTACACAAGGCAGCCGTCACCACCTGAGGACGGGCTGTCATTTGTTTTGAGACGCACACTCTGGGTTGTGAGGAGCCTCAGGACTGACCTCTTCTCCCCCGCCCTCTGACTGACTTCTTCCTTTGCCAGGACCTGCATGTACTCCCAGCCGGTCCCCACCTCCAAGCATCTCTGGCTACTCTCTAGAAATCCACACTGCTACAACCTACTCATCAAGCCACCCGTGGGCAAGGGACACTGACTTGGATGGCCTTTGAACTTGGGCCACCCCCGTGTGGGAGCACTAGACACAGGTAGGGCTGCAGTGGAAACACCTCCCTCAGCCACTCTGGCTGTGCCATCTAGGAAAGTTCTCCTGTTCTCAAATCTGCTTGTCAGAGACCTGTTCACAGGCAGAACTGTGGAGCTCCTGTGGTTGTCTCACAGTGGCACCCAGGACACTCTTGCCCTGTCCTACAGGTCTTGAAGGTCTTGTTCTGCTGTGGTGTATTTGATGGGTTGAGGACAGCTAAGTCATGTTTAGACCTTTGCTTAGTACCTACTACATATTCAATAAAAGTTTACCAAGTATACATGTCTACAGGTACAAATAGAAATATAAATATCCTGCTTTTATTCACTTTTAAAAAGACAACTGTTAAACAAAAGGTGTACACTTTAGTATTTGGCACTCTGTATTCTTGCTGGGGAAGCCCTGGCTGTCTGAGACTCTGAGCAGGAACAGCAAGGCTGTTCACTTCACCAGGTATGTGGGCTCCATTGTGTAAGAGGTGGTGTGGCATCAGTGAGGGAAAAACTTGGGTTTGAATTAAGCCTCATCTGATCTTTGGTAAGTTACTCAACCTATCTGAATATCAGTGCCCTCTTCTGCAGAGATTTTTAGTGGAGCAAATAAATTATGAATAACCCAATGCAGTAGTGCATGCCAATAATCCCAGCTACTCGGGAGGCTGAGGCAGGAGAATTGCAAATTTGAGGCCCATCTCAGCATCTTAGGAAACCCTGTCTCAAAATAAAAAAAGATGTAGCTCAGTGGTTGAGTGTCCCTGGGTTCAATCCAAAAAAAAAAAATTATGAAAAAAGTTTAGGGAAATGGTATCATATTATTAATAATAACCATATGCCTAAAGTTGTATAGGACCACTGAAAGGTACCAGAAAATAAAAATGTGGAAGAAATGCCCACATGAGCATTTTATTGTCATACAGTTTTTATTTTACTAAAGAATTTCAAGAGAAAAGGTTCACTGATGTTGAGAAAATTAACCAATTGTTCCCTTACAAGAATCAGGCAGATTCTAGATGTTAGCTTAGGTCTTGCTTCAGACCTTTACCACCCTCAAAAGACATGAAGAAGTTCAGTAAAATTAAAATGAAGTGGGTTTAAAAGGTTTTCAGATCATCTACATGCTCCACCTATGTTCTTCAAACTCTTGGGCTCCCAGATACAACTAATTAAAAAAGAGAACTATGCAAATCACTGCACATTTTCAAGATTTGGTCTCTATCTATACTATCTGATTTTCATCATAAATGAAATAAATTTATTTTCTTGTTCCTTGCCAAGAGTAGATAGAAAATTATACATAGAAGATGGAACGTTGGGAGGGTGTACTACAGTTAAAGTATTTCACGGCGTGACCTGATTAACTAATCTTTTTTTAATATTTATTTTTTAGTTATAGGTAGACACAATATTTTATTTTTATGTGGTGCTGAGGATTGAACCCGGTGCCTCACGCATGGTAGGTGAGCACTCTACCTCTGAGCCACAACCCAGCCCCATTAACTAAATTTTAACCACCTTGGTCCATAAAACACACTCTGAATCATCCAAAAAATTATGCAAAATTTTTATCTTTGGGTTTTGCAAAATCAGATAGTCCTACAGAACATTCTAGTACATCTAAAAGAATAGTCAACACTAACCCCTAACCCCTCATGCTCTAGGGTTTTTAAATCACTATGCTTTCCAACAAAAGCTAAAATTCTCTCTCCCTCTCCCTCTCCCTCTCCCTTCTCCCTCTCCCTCTCCCTCTCCCTCTTTCCCCCTGCCCCTTCTCTCTGAGTCTAATTTTTTGCACAGGCTGGTTTCAAGGGATCTCCTGTCTCAGACTCCCAAGTACCTGGGATTAGAGGTATGCACGACTGAGCGCTGCCTCTATTTCTAACGCAGGGGACAACATTAGGAGCATAAGGAACAACGGAAAGCCTCTTGAACTGAAGGCACCAGGCTTCTGGTTTCTCCCTTTGTTTAACACCCCAAAAGTTGTTACATCTTAATGCCCGTGCAAGACCAGAAATATTGTAGAGGGGGGAAACTTTCTTGCCTAAAGTTGGAGAGGGCTTAAATGTAAATGTTTTTCCCTCAATTTTGTGTATTTTAGGGAAGAGGACGCATGGAACCTGAGGATCTGGAAATTGATTAAGAATGACCCCAGCATACATAATATCCTTTAGAGATTTATTATCCATCTCTTTGGGACATGTGTACCCCCTGCCCCAGGTGAAGAATTCAGCACTGCACAGTGCTAAGAAGCTATTAGATAATAAGTGACTCGGGATACTTTCTCCCTATTCCTCTTCTGGTCCAAAGATGAAGAAAACAAAGTATTTTCCCAAAATGTTCACTAAAATTTAACCTAGACTAACTTCAAAGATCACGTAAATAATAATGACATAAATCATAGAAAGAAAAGGAACTGCTAGAGACGTGTAACTCTCAGAAAAGGTTCAGAAAATGGTCAAAAGATGTTTGAACACAAAGGAAACTGAGAACTCATCTGAACACCATCAGAGGAAACCATCAACTCTGTGCACGGTGTTCTGCGTCTGCACACTGGCGTGGGAATTTCAAATGGGTGTAATGATGACCAAGAGTGAGCTGGGCCTGCTGGCGGGCACGGGTAGCCCCAGCTCTGGGAGGCTGAGCCCAGGAGCTGGAGACCAGCCTGGGCAACACAGCTGAGACCTTGTCTCAAAAACATAAATGCACCAGAGCATCATGAAAGCTGAAGAGTAACCCTTCCCTACACACATGCAAATCATCATCCATTACTGTGAAAACCTAAGTTTTGTAGCTTTTCAGAGGTAAGCAGAAAGATTCGTGTTTCAGAGAAGAGAATGTTAAGCTACCTCTTTGTCCTTTATGGTATAGTTCATAAAAGGAAATGAGTAAAATAAAGTTGATGCATGGTAAAAATATCTTTTCCTGAGAAAACTGAGATCTTACCGAAGTGGAGAATCTTTTTTCCTCTTTTCTTTGAAAACACCCATGCTTGGCTTCTTGGAATGGGAGGCTCCAAAATCACAGTCCTCAAACTCTTCCCAGCTGTCTCCAGCCTTGAGGATAGTCTGACCCCAACGCCTTCTAGCACTTTTATGAGCCAGTGGACCATTTGGCTTCTGTGGGAAAATCAGTTGTCATAATCCTCAGTCCTTTGTGAACGCCTTTTACACAAGCTAGTCTATCAGGCATAAGAGTCACATTCTCAAGGAGCCTTCATCCAGTCCTGTGTCTTCTAAGACCGGAACCCATTCTGAGAAACGCACCCTGAGGTGATTCTGTCATTGTGCAAACATCACAGAAAGGACTTACACAAATCTAGATGGTCTAGCCTACGACACAGGTAGGCTGTAAGGTGTAGCCCATTGCTCTTAGGCTACGAGTACAGCACACTACTGTACTGAGTACTGTGGGCAGCTGTAGCATAATGGTTAGTACTTGTGTATCTACATACATCTCAACATAGGAAAAGTATAGTAGAGGGGTTGGGGGTGTAGCTCAGTAAGAAAGCACTTGCTCAACAAGCACAAAGCCCTGGGTTCAAACCCTAGCACCAAAAAAAGGGGTGTGGAGAGACAAAAATATAGTATAAAAAATGATACAGGGCTAGGGTACAGTGCTTGCCTAGCACATGTGAGGCCCTGGGTTCCGATCCTCAGCACCACATAAAAGTAAATAGAGTTTTTTGTGTCTATCTACAACTAAAAAGTTTATTTTGAAAAATGATACAAATGATACACAGGTTCAGGACACTTACCATGAGCAGAGGCTGCAGGACAGCAAGCTGCTCTGGGTGAGTGAGTGGTGAGTCAATGTGAAGACTGGACATTACTGCACATGACCGTTGACATTTTAGACACTGTATACTTGGGCTATGCTAAATTTATAAAACATATTTTTCTTTCTTCAATAATAAATTAACCTTAGCTGACTATAACATTTTTAACTTTAAAATCTTTAAACTCTTTTGATTCTTTGCAATAATACTTAGCTGAAAACACAAACACATTCTAAATTAACAGGGATCTTTTGGCTTCATTATAATCTTCCGGGGCCACCATCATACTGTGGTGCATTGTTGACCGAGACGTCGCCATGCGGTACGTGAATGTATTTAAGGAGATAATGTGCACATTTAAAAACATTAACAAAAATAGGTAGCACCTGCCAAAAATGTGACATGAATTCAGAGGGAGGAGAAATCTGAATTTAGGAGGAGGAAAGACTTCCATATTTAGGATCTGGATGACTTTTTATTGATGTAAAGGATCCAGAAAACCAAGACTTGACTGTGTCTCTTTGGACAAATGACTTCACTTCCCAAAGCTTTAATTAATGGGCCTTCTCAAGTGGGGACAACCTTAAGGAGGGGGACATGGAGACAGATATTTTTTAGTGTCCTTCATGATTCCGTCTCCCAAGGGCAGAGGCACACTTGAAAGAGCAACAGTCATCTTGCCACCAGAGCATGAAAGCCACCTGCTAAGGGGTGGAGCTTCTTTGGAAGCGGCAGGAGCTCTGGGTTGCTGCCTCCCAACTTCAAATTATGTGAGAAAGACAATCCCTATGGGTTAAGGCACAGCGTTCAGGTTTGTGTTAAAAAGCCTGAATATAATCGTAATGTACAGAGGGAAATGGGAGGGATAGCTTTAAAAGCCTGAGTCTGAGTGTCTCAGAATAGTGGCACCATTAACAGAAAGATGGAATGAGGAACGAGTCCTGGTTTGGGGCAGACAATGAACTGGTTTCATACAAATTTAAAGAGACACAGATGAACTGAAAAATCCCAAAGGCAACTGAAAATTGGGGAACAGAGCTCGGAAGGAAGGGCAGCTATGCTGGGAGGGGATAGGCGGGCTACTGCGTGAACCGATAGCACCACGTGATGATGGCAAGCAGTGGAGCTTGCCAATTTCTCTTCTGTTATTTTCGTGGCCAGGGAGAACAATCTCCAGACTGCAGAGAATGAAACCTCTAAAGTCCAGATGAGTGGAGTTGAGGAAGATTACAATTAGTTGCATTCTGGGCTCCTTCCATTTGAACTCTGTGTTAGGTACCAGTGCTGAATGGGGTCAGTGACACTCAAGTGATCCTGTATGTCTGACAAGACTGCAAAGGGGCAAATAGAAATAGTTTTCATTTCAGTTTTCAAAGTAGAAGGTATATTTTTGCAAATATCACATCAGTAAGTTTGATATAGAACGAGGGCAAAGATTTTAAAGCACTAAGGAAAAAAACCTGGTGGATCTGTAGGCCACCGTTTTCATAAAAAGCAAGCAATGAATTCATTAGATGGGTATGTGTGGACTTCATTCAACTTGGGGACATAATGTTTCATATCTTTACTACAATGTAGTAGTGAAGCAAAGGTGGGTCAGGACAAGGGTCAATCATTGGACGAGTACCATTTCAAGGATCAGTGTCAATCTAGAAGGTTCTAGTGGCCTGCTCAAGGGCTCACTGCATTCTTTTCATCATGAAGATACAGGAGGGAAATAAAAAACAAATCTGTAGCTGGCAACAGGTTACATAGAATGGTTAGATAGGAAAGTAAAAGTAAGGGTTCAAGCATAATTAGAAAATTGGGAGGTAAAAGCGAGGTCTTGCAACTTTCTCAATCCTAAAGATCAAATGCCCAAGTAAAGGTATTTAACATGTTTCGCAGAAGCGTGTATAAAAAAAAAAATAGATTTAAAAGTTTTAGTTGAAACAGTGCTCAAATCCAGTTCTGGAACTTGTTAGCTATGTAAAAATTTAGGGTTAGGTTATTATTGGTACTTGAACTTGTGTGAGAAGGCACACCCACGGGCTTAGCATCATGCCTGGCTTGTAGCTACTTCTACATGTAGCTGCTCAACATATCCGCTTCCTTCCTTCCCTCTCAGATTGCATCAATGTTTGATTTGTCTTCTAAGAAAACAAAACAACCACCACAACAACAAAGAATGTAACCCTTAGTGGCACCAGTGGACCCGTGATTCCAGACAACCTGTTTTTCCTCCCTATCCATCCTTGCTCTAACTTGGGCAGGAAAAGATGGGAGGGGACTTGGAGGCTTGTCAGTGAATGGACATCACATGCAGAGCTCATGGGGGAACCAGGGCTGTTTCTCCTGGAGAAAGGGAAGGTAATGTAAGAGCTATTTCGGCTCTACCTAAAAGACAGCCTTTCCAGAAGAGTGTTCAGCTTTTGTTAAAAGCCAGGGGAAACCAGAGTTCAAGTCAGTATAATAGGCAGAAGCTTCTAAAGTTCAGTACTTTCTCAAAGATGAAGAGGACTCCTCAGGACCTTGGAGGTAGTTTTTTTTTTTTTAATTTCAATTGATCTTTTATTTCATTTATTTAGGAGGTGGTTTTAAAATAGAATGGTAATCACTCTTTCCTTCAACAAATATTGAGAATGTACCATGTGGCAGGCAGCACTTTAGGTTCTGGGCTGTCTTGATAATAAAACATTCCCGATCTCAAAGAGCTTGCACACTAGGAGGAAGGGCCAGGTAATACACAATAAACACACCAAACAAGTAATAGTATGCTAGAAATGCTCAGTGCCATGGGGGATGGGAGGCTCTCACTTACTGGAGGATGGTGAACTGATAAGGAATTAGATAAAGTGTTTTTCAGATTTTTCAGTCCTCACCAAATGCAAATGCATGTGGGGGTGTATACCTGAGTGGGCAACTAAAACCTTCCCGCACCTAATGAGCTCCTGGATCTGCCTGGAAGTGGGAAGAGAAAGTTTTATACTATGCCTGACACTTAAAACCCATTCAAGTGCAATAGAACTTAAAAGCAGCGCAAAATTCTTGTTAAAATTCCTGAAATTTAGAATCAGGACTCTTGAGTACCCAATTATTTTCAGTTCTTCTTTGAGTTCTTTTGTATGGATGTAATTGTTCAAGGAAAACTATGGCATGCAAACTTTTTAACTTTCATTCAGAAAGTCTTTCTTTCTTACATATAAAATGTTCTCTCACGTCATGCACCTCGCAGAGGAGGCAGGAGCTTTAACACAGGATGATCTTTTATATCTTCCCCAATGTTATTAGAGCTGCCTGGCACTTAATGCGTTGGCTCAATCATATGCCACTTACAGTTGGCAGGTTTTTGACGATGCTAGGAAACAGTGTTTGTGGCGGTCTCGGTTGACTCTGTTGCTTTGGAGGCTGCTGGAGGTCCCCGTCCTGTGGCGGCTGAATGGACTGCAGTGGTAGGTGGCTGTGCTTTGGCTGGGGCTGTCCGACAGTCTGGTCGGTTACGTCTGACAGAGGCTTGGGGTCTAGGTCAGCAGGAGCTGGCTTGCATTCTAATGACTGCAGCTGCTTATTTAAAGTCTGTTTTGATTCCAGAAGATGTGAGGAAGGGCCTAACACCTGTCCAACTTGAAAATATGGGTGTTTCAATGCCTATAACAGAAATATTAAATTACATTAACATTTAGTTCATCAAAATGTTTCCAAATTTAAATTATGTACATCCTTAGCTTGAAATATGTTGCCCACCCTTAACAATGCATTCCTAGTGCTGTCTTAAAAAAAAAAGTGTGGGGGGGGATGAGGATGGATGTAGCTAAGTTGCCCCCAGGCTCTCTTCGAACTCAGCCTCCTGAGTCACTGGGATAACAGGTGGGCACCACCACCCTGGCTAAGTTCTCCAGATTTTAATTCTTAAGTAATCAAATCTTATGTGTGTTCCCCTTTGTGATTTCTCCTATTACTTTAATATCCATGCTCTTCTTACCCTGAGATCAAATGCATATGCTTTCTTTTAGTTTTTAATGACTTAGTTAACACACACACACACACACACACACACACACACACACAGTGATTTATTTGTGAAGTATGGTGAGAGGTAAGAACCTAAATTCACTTTTCCTGAAGAGTTAGCAAACTGTCCCAGTGAACTGTCATTCACTGAACAGTCCCACCCTCTCCCTGCCATTTGTGACACTGTGTTTATCTTATCCTGAACTTAAACATTTTATTTGTCAATTCTTATGCAGTACTTTCACTACTGTCATTATGGTCACTTCAAGGACCATTTTTAATGACTACAGGGCAGGCTGACCACCTACATGCTCTCTACTTTCTTATTCTTGTTCAATCGTGCCTTGACTTTCTTTCCCATTTGTTCTTCCAGATGGCCTTCAGAAAACATATTCTTAGTTTATTTTAAAGTTTAAAAGAGAAAAGTAATTCTTAGGTAATTTTCACATATGATTTATGTTTAATCATTAGAACATAATGAAACTCATCCATTTTTTAACTTATTTGCAAATAAAAACTTGTAAAGACTCTGAGACTTGCAACAGTCACAGAGGAACAAGGGTGTGCCCCAGTGCTGCCCTCTTGTGGGAGCTGGAGGCTGAACACTGTGACTCCATTCTCTGGAGAAATGATTACCGGAGTGTGAAGAGAACGAGAATCCCAAGCCTCAACCAAAGGAGAGAGTAGAAAAGTCTAAAATGACAAATGATTGAAGAGATGCCTTTTTTGCTACCCATGACAAGGTCTTCCAAACTTGTCCATCGCATGCCTGAATTGTCTTTAGAGATCGATCCCTTTCAGACTCAACCTCCTAGAAGCTTCCTCATTTGAATCCCAAAACAAAATCACCTTCGTGGCTATCTTTGCAATTCTCCCAAGGATCTTCCCTGTCGAGAAGCTGATCGACTATACTAACTGGATGCCCCAGGGATGCATTCTCTTGGTAAGCCCTGGTTAAGCGTGTCTATGCAGATGAAAACATCCTTACATGGATAAAACTCAAAAGTTTAAAAGTTGTAACAGAGAGATCTGCCTCACCTGGCTTGCTGTTGGTCGTTTCTTTGGATCCCAATTCAACATTTCCGTCATTAGCTGAATGGCTTCATTACTGGCATTGGGAATAAGGGTTTTTAAGTTTATAGGAACACACTGAGGAAAGCGGAAATTCATAGAGGATGCAAGCTGGTATCCTTCTGGCCAGTCACTCTGTTGAAAGAATATATATGTGGGGGTGGGAAGCAAAAAGAAAATTGTTTTAGTAATCAATTTAAAGACACAAAAGTAATTCAGGTATGAAAATTTGAATACTGATTCATATAAAAGAATGTGAAATAAAATATCAGCCTTTATTTCTGATTAGGTTCTACCAACCACATAGAAAAAAAGAACAATGAATTGAGAGGGAAAAAATGAGAAAGCTCCACGTTTCACAATGTTACACTCTTGTCTGGTTTTGGATCTTGATGATGACATTGGTGACTTTGAACACATAGGACAATACTTCACAAACACTTGATCCTATAGAGATCCTCAGTATATATTATATATTGTGTCTAATGTGAAGAATTACATAGCTGGAAAATAATAACTTTGTTAGAGCTTAAATATGTATATTTACCTCTCTAATATTAACTTCAAGGCACATACTGATTTATTTAGGGTGTAATCAAACATAATTACGACACTACTAAGTACATCCCAGAAAGTAAGGTTCACCTGAAATGCAATATTAATTAAAAAGTGCCAACTACCCCTGGCCAGGGTATGTAAATGGAAACGAGAAAGGGTTAAAAGGAAGTAAGTCCAGGGCCCCAGGGATGTTGGTTGATGCCCGGGGACCTTCACAGAGCAAGGAGGAGTCTCAGCCAGTCACCAACCCCAAGGTACACTCTAAAGAGAACTGTCCCTTGGTTCTTTTTTTTTTTTAATATGAATTTTTTATTTTATAAGAAGCAATATCTCAATTACCATGTATAAAAGGAAGGAGAAAGGAACATTACAGTGATTATGATTGACTTCCTTTTTTATTTGAGATGGGCTAGTTTGAGTGAGGTTACTTCCATTTAGTAAGTATTATGGTGTTGTCTGCTTCTGAGTTTTCAGAAACTTTCTTAAAAGCAAAGTTTTGCAAACAAAACCAAGAATCTTAAATAGAACCATTCTGGAAATTTCTTTTTTTTAATTTTTAATTTGTTTTAGTTAGTTACACATGACAGTACAATGACCTTGACATATCATACATTTGAATCAGAAGTGATATAATTTCTCATTTTTCTGAGTGTAAGGAAAGGCAGCAACCTCTTACTCCGTCTGGTGGGATTCTGGCTTCTGGTGATCCTCATCCTACTCCATTTTAAAAATGATAGGATTGTGATAAAATCACTGAAGTACAAAACTATTTGAAAATGAAAAAAGTCAGGTACCTAGCCAAAAGTGATAATCAAAAAGTTTTAAAATTCAAAGCAAAGTAGCAAGTTGGAAATAATGTCAAGTCACATCAAATAAGAGTTACTTTACTTACTTTCTTGGGAGTCCCTAAAACTTGGCAGATTTTGAAGATTTCATCAATTTCACTTGTCCCGGGGAACAGAGGTCTTAGGGTATAGAGTTCGGCCATGATGCTTCCCACAGCCCACACGTCAATGGGAGAACTGTACACTGAAGATCTTAGTAAAACTTCAGGAGCACGGTACCTTGAAAAACAAGACAAACACCAAAAAGACTGTTTGGAGCACGACCTCACAGGTGGACGGGCAGTAGAACAGAACTCTAGTCATTAGTTTCAGTCAAGGGATACTTATTTTCTCCCGTGTGCCAGGCATGTGCACGTGTGTTGGGATGGGCTGGACATGACACATTCACAAGGGGTGAGGCTCTACAGGAACCTATGAAATGCCCATGAAGCCTGAGATAGGAACTCAAATGAATAACAGGGAAATAAGTACTCTCTGATATTTTAAGAAAAAAACAATACCCCAAGCATCATGTCCAGCATATATTCACATGAAGGGTAGGAAATGAAAGGTTGACAAAGATTATCCCTGAGTAGTACATTTTTTTCTTTCTTTTTATCAGTTTTAAAGTGCTCATACCAAACTGGAAATGGAACCACCATTTGACCCAGCTGTCCCACTCCTCAGTTTAGACCCAAAGGACTTAAAAACAGCATACATTAATGTTTATAGCAGCACAATTCACAATAGCTAAACTGTGGAACCAACCTAGATGCCCTTCAGTAGAGAACGGATAAAGAAACTGTGGTGTATATATACACAAGGGAATATTACTCAGCATTAAAAGAGAATAGAGTTATGACATTTGCAGGTAAATGGATGGAGTTGGAGAATATAATGCTAAGTGAAGTTAGCCAATCCCAAAAAACCCCAATGCTGAATGTTTTCTCTGATCGAAGGATGCTGATTCATAGTGGGGATGGGGGGGCAGCGTGGGAGGAATGCAGGAACTTTAGATAAGGCAAAGGGGAGGGAGGGGAAGGGAGGGGGCATGGTGGTAGGAAAGGCAGTGGAAGGAGATGAATACCATTACCAAAGTACATGTATGAAAACACGAATGGTGTGACTCTACTTTGTGTACAACCCAGAGACATGAAAAACTGTGCTCCATTTGTGTACTACCAACTGAATTGAATTCTGCTGTCATAGATAACAAATTAGAATAAAATTTAAAACGTGCTCATACCATCAATCCAATCTTCTCTGTAGACAATAATATTTTTTTAAAAAATTTTTTAGTTGTAGGTGGACACAATACCTTTATTTTATTTATTTATTTTTATGTAGTGCTGAGGATCGAATCTAGTGCTTTACACATGCTAAGTGAACATTCTACTGCTGAGCCACAACCTCAGCCTAATAATAATATTTTTAATTGAGGAAAATATGTATAAGACCAAAGGTACCTGGTAAGCCCAGCACAAAGTCTGCTAACTGGACAATATTTTCAATTCTAACTTTTTTTCTCCACATTGAAACATGAAAATATTGCAATATAAATGTTTTGTAGCAGTCTTTTTGTTTTCACCTAGAGTTCTTTGACAAATATTTTTAACAGCTTTCCTGAGAGATGATTCATATAATATACAAGTCACCCTTTAAGCTATGCAGTTCAATAGCTTTTAGTATATTCACGATCAATTTTAAGACATTTTCTCTTTCTTATCCACCTCTCCCTTGATATCCTGTACCCAGCCCTAAGCAGCCACTAATCAAATTTCTGTCTCCACTTGCCTACTGTGTACTAATTTCCTAACAACAGAGTCCTACATGATTGTAACTAGCTCCTTTCATTAAGCTTAACATTTTCAGGGTCTGTCCATATTGTAGCATGTATCAGCCCTTCATTTTTTAAAATATCTTTAGTTGTAGATGGACACAATACCTTCATTATTTTATTTATTTTTATGTGGTGCTGAGGATTGAACTCAGTGCCTTACACGTACAAGGCAAGTGCTGTGCCGTTGAGCTACAACCCTGGCCCAGCCCTATCTTTTTATTGCTGAAAAATATTCTATCAATTTGCCACATTTATTGACCCATCCATCAGTGGAAGGATGTTTGGGTTATTTCTGTTTTTGGCTGTAATGGATAATGCTGCCATGAACATCCATGCACAAGCTTTTGTGTGGACACCTTTTCTCCTGGGTGTACAGCTAGGTGTGGAATTTCTAGACCACATCGTGCCCATATTTAACTACTGAGGAACTGTGGCCTTTTCCAAAGCCTCTCTATCATTTTATATCCCAGCAGCAGTTTATTAGGATTTTGCTAATTTTGTACATTCGTATCAACACCTGTTATTATTTTTTGACAAATATTTTTTGTGAGACAAAAATGATTTATGTTTTGCCAAACTTAGACACAGAAACACTTAAGTATTCTCACTTCCATTCCATGTCAATATAGAATCTAAATTTATCCAATTAAAAATAGGATCTCATTTCAAATTCCCTCAAGAGATTTTCCAAATGTAATTACACATTTAACAAAATACAGCTACTACATTATTTGAACTTTTATCATTTCTTCAATTCCGCCCTTGCTTTTGTAGATAAATATTGACTTCCTGTCTTCAGACTTTGTTTTCAGTGACTGCAAGTTGCTATAAGCTTGGATTTTTGGTCCTCTGTTTATTGAAAATTCTGATTAAAAATTTCCAAGTGATTTGAAACACAAAGCAACCAAAATTTAAAGGACTTGTTTACAAAGAAGCTAAGGTGCCATTGTCAAATCACCTAAATTGGGTTACACAGTAATTCTTCAAAGTCAATGGCAGACAGCAAGGAGAGAAAGCACATGCTGCCATGCTCCAGTTCTTCTTAGTGAACTTCAGTATCCTCAAGACTTTGTAGTTCAGTCATTCTCCTTCAGCATGTGTGCGGATGATTGGTAAATTCTGGGGATGGTTTATATGTTGACTGGCAGCTTGTGTGGATGCAGTTCCAAATCAGACCCACATCATAAGCAATCCTTGCCGCTTCCTCGGTTCCATCTTCATTTGGTAAGAACATTGTTCTTAGGAAGTTAGGCTTGTGGAAATGTGTATTTGTATTGTCAATGTAAAAACAATACTTTCATTTTCAATGAAGATTTTTTAAGTTGAAATTAAGGTAGCATTCACAGTAATGTCAGATTTTTCCCCTTTCACAGAATGAGCCTATTAAAAGTTTCATTTTGATTCTATGAATCATAAGGAAAACTTAGAAGTCGTTGCTAGAAATCAAGTAACTGAGTTTTTCCTTTGAAGCATTTCCACTTGTTTTAAAATGGCATCATTTAACTATGACATCCTTCCTCCAATAAGGCACGTGTACACGCACAGCCAATCACTTCACCTTTCTACTTGCACAAGATGGACTCAAAGTGGAGAGAAATTAACTCAGCATTGCGTCCTAGAATAATGTGAACTCATCCGAAGCTGCACGTGCTAACGCTGTCCTTACCAGTCTTCT